TTAAAGCATTATATAAATAAATATATTACCCCCATTAGACTGTGAACTCCTTGAATGAAAGGACTGTTTTGTTTGTTGGTTTTGTCTTTCTTTGTATACCCAGTGCTTATCACAGTCCCTGGCCCATAGTAGGAACAAGTATTGGTTGACTAATTGAATGAGTAAATATGCCCTTATACTGTATTTCCCATTATATTTTCCTAACCACCCTCTTATCGCCCTGTAAACTCTTTTAAGGTAATTCTCTCAGTGCCTAGCACTATTTGATAAATGTTGGCTGAATTGATGAGTCAAATAATTTTTGAAGGTCCTTTCTGATGCTATGATGCCACAGAGAGTATGGTCCCTTTGGTAAGGCTGCCAAAGTGGAAGTAAATCCATTAGCAGATAATATAGAATTCATTTCAAAGGGTAAAATATAGAACAAGGTTTTAAATTTGTTCCTAAAAGGCCTATGAGGAGCAATTGGCTTATATGGCCCTCACTAAGAACAGGGGATAGCATCTCTATAGAGCAGAGCAAAGAGAGAAATTGCCCCTGGTCTAATCAATGTTGGACAAAATATTCACTAAGGCCGTATCAGCCAAGTACAATTCCCCATCACATCTACAACAACAATGAAAACTACACCATTTCTAACCTTTCAAGCTGCAGGCTCCTGGAACTCAAAAGCAATTTATAGATACTGTTCCCTGCCTAGCCCAGCGGTCATCTGCTCCCGTCTTGTTCCAAACGTGCTAACACAAATGCTGCATACATTTCCTATGACACAAGCCTCCTGACAGGTTTTAGGGGCTATAGAGTGAACTGATTAAGATAACTGGCAGCACTGAGAAGCCTGTCAAGAGGTTCCACCATTGTGGCCCCTGGGACAGACAGCTTAGCCCTCCAAGTGTCAGCATCTGGGTAATAAGATCACTCTCGTACTGCAGGTCCCTCAAATTATTTCTGCCATGGATATTAATGCAATTCAATGAAACAGCTGTGATCTGGGTTAAAACTAGATATTGATGATTTGTCTGTGCAGTTTTAGGAAATAAATAGCATATTCTCATTATATAGTTCTAAGGCAACAGGGGTTCCCAACCCATAGGCAAGAGTTTTTGCAAAAGGTAAGCAAATTCATGGATCCATAAATTCAGGAGAGACATTATCCAATAAGGGAAAGAGGAAGATGGGACAAGTAAAAACTATGGATGTCTCCCTCCCTAGGGATACTGAAGTAGCTATTTGAGATTTTTTTGTTTGTTTGAGGATTTTTATTGTCTTTGTTTGAGAATAGGCCTTTCTATCTCACTTAGGCTGGAAGTATATCACCCGCTCACTCGCCTGGCCTAATCTCAATCCTGATTGATACAGAAGATTTAACTTGCTCTGTTTTGCCAAACTGAACCATTTCAGCCACTCTTGGGCAGCTTAGTGCCCCCCATCCTGTTCTTGAGGGCTCCTCATACTGGCATCAAACTTAGCCCAAACACCCAGACACCTGATTAAGCTTTCTATCTACTCCAACTCTGAACTCTCTAACTCACTTTTTTTTTATGTGCCTAGAGAAGGACCTATATGTTCCCATTAATCTAATATGGCTAAATAAGCCATCAGTTAACACAGGAGTCAATCCCAACTTCTCCCAAGCTTCCCTTCCACCGTTTCCCATTTAGTCATTAGGATACAAATGATTTAACCAGGGCAATAGGCAGACACTTCAATATATCCTCAATGATTAAACATAAAATGGATGCATACCTTCCCCACTTAATTCCAAAGACCTTCAAACCTTCCACCACAATGGCTCCTTGGTGTGCTCAAGAATGTGATTTCCACTGATTGCCTGAGGGAAGTCATTAGCCAGCTAACTTACTTGTCAGGAGACACTGCAAAACCCTAAAAATCAGTTCTACTATCAGGCAAACATGTTTCTCTGTGCAGCTTTTCTGAAACAGTCAAGATGAAAGTGTTGACTTGAGATGAGTCTAATATGAGTATTTGCACTCATGCCCACATTGATCTTGCTAATATAACAATGTCAGTGTTTTTTGAGGTTGTCTTGCAGGACCATTTTATTGGATCTTTTTTCCCCAGCAGGAATCCAAATTTACACAGTACCATTTTTCCAACATCAGCGAGCTTGGTGACTGTATTGTGGATTATCAGTCTTCTTGGTGAAAAGAGATTTTAAATGTGCAACTGAGGAGGCAAAATGCAGCTGTGCACATTTTGTACCAGCAGAAAAAGGAAACATCTTCCTTAGTGGGAATAAGGACCAAGAAGGACAAAAAAAAAAAGGTAGGCATCAAGGGGGAAAGAAAAGAACTTTCTTTTTAATGGAACATATTAGGTAGAATAGACATCCATTTCATTCAGTCAGTCAGCCAATTGATAAGCATTTATTAAGCACCTACTATGTGCTACATACTACAAAAAATCATGAAGCTTATATTCTTGGAAGAGTACAATATAGGGGACACAAGATAACACAAAACATCAGGATAGGAACTGATATAAACAAAGGAAATACAAAGTAATTTGGGTAGGGAAGGATACCAGAAGGGGAGGAGGAATGACTAGATAGATCTGTTGTAAGAGATGGCACTTCAACAGATTCTTAAAGGGGCTTCCAAGAGGTGGAGGTGAGGGGTAATGTATTCCAGGAATGGAGCCTGTCTATGCAAAGACATAGAGATGGGAGATAGAATGTATAAGAAACAGCAAGAAAGCAGGCTTAGCTTAGATTAGAGTGTGTGACATGGTAGTTATGTGCAGAAAAGGTCATCTGAAACTCTACTGTGAAAGACTTTAAATGTCAAACAGAGAAGGTCGTATTGACCTTCAAGGTAGCATTGAACCACTTGGGTTTCTTGAGTAGAGGAATGACAGGATCAGATATGTGCTTTAAGAATATCAAGTTGGCAGTTGCCTTGAAGATAATTGGAGAGGGGAAAGACCAGGTGCAGGGAGACCAGTTAAGAGGCTGAAGCAATAGACCAGATTTTTTCTTTTAATGCAACAAAGTCATAAGCAGAGGCCAGAGTGACAGTAAGGTTTAAATGCCTTGAAAGTTAGGCCAAAGGGAAAAGAGAAAATCCCTGCTCTAGAGCAAAGTTAACGAACGGGAACACAAATTCCATGTAGGCTCAGACACCTACCAAATCCATTGGCTTGAGGCTGAGACCTGTAATATGTAATAACTTGAACTGACAGGGGGATGTGTTTGAAAGTAGGGAGTCAACTAGAAAGGAATGGTACAATGGGGGAAAAAAATCAGAATTTGGGGTCAAAGGTCCTGACTTCACATGCCACCTCTATCACATATCCCTTTTAATTCTAATGTCTTCCTTCCAATAATTATTTTCCTTTTATCCTGCATCTAGCTTGTTTGTACGTAGTTGTTTATTTATCAGTCCTATATTAGACTAAGAGCTTCTCAAGGGAAAGGACAGTCTTTTGCCTCTCTTTGTATCCCTAGCACTTAGCACATAGTAGGTGCTTAATAAATGCTTACTAAGTGAAGTATTACCTTTGTGACGTTAGACAAGACACTTAATATCTCTAAGACTTCAATTTCCAGTAAAATGAGGAATTGGAAATTATGGGGATGCCCATCAATTGGGGAATGCCTGAACAAGTTGTGGTATATGAATGTAATAAAATATTATTGTATTACGATGAGCAGGCAGATTTCAGAAAAACCTGGAAAGACTTATATGAACTGATGCTGAGTGAAGTGAGCAGAACCAGGAGAACTTATATCAGATTGCTTGCCATCTTGGGGAGAGGGGAGAGGAGGGAGGGAGGGAAAAAATTGGAACTCAAAATCTTACAAAAAATGAATGTTGATGTCTACTATGGACGTGTTTTGCATAACTGCGCATGTATAACTTATATTGAGTTGCTTGCCTTTTCAATGAGGGTGGGTGGGGAGGGAGGAAGAGAGAAAATTTGAAACCTAAAGTTTTAAAAACATATGTTTAAAAAAAATGTTTTCACATGCTACTGGGAAATAAATATAGGAAATGGGGTACAGAAGTCTTTCCTGCCCTACAGGAAAATAGAAGGGGAAGGGGATAAGAGAAGGGGAGAGAGACAGAAGAGAGGACAGAGGGATATTCAGAACGCATGACATCTTGGGGTGGGGGGAGGGAGGGAGATGGGGTGAAAATTTGGAACTCAAAAACTTGTGGAAGGGAATGTTGAAAACTAAAAATAAATAAATTTATATTTTAAAAAAATGAATGTAGAAAACTATCTTTATGTGTAACTGGAAAAAATAAAATACTATTTACATAAAAAAGCTTGCTGATTGATTGAAGGGTAGAAAAGGCCTACACTTCCCTTCCATAATTCTGAAGATTTGGGGTATCCCATGCAGATAGGAGAGCTGGTGACCCCTAGAAACTAGTAGGGGATGCCAGTAGGTCAAGTTATGGGACTTATTAGGGAAAGAAAACAGTAGTGTATGGGGCTCTGATATAGGTATGATTGGGGTATAGTAGCACATCCTTTGGCCTATATCCTTCCACCTAAAAACTTTGGACTGCATGTGTTACAAATCCATTTACTCCCATCCCCAAACCTTAATGTTAAGGAACCTAGGATAGAAACAAAGATGGGTATGACTGCCTCTTCAGAGCTGGCAATCAGCTTCGGTGCATCTTGGGATCTTACTAAGGAGAGGCAGAAGACCCGCAGCAGCGGCCCTGATCCTGGAGACACGGTTGTCTAACCAAAAAGATGTTATCTTTCTCTATCAGCACCCTCCCTAACATATTTTTTAGAGTCCTGGAACCAAGTCTCTTGGTTTTCTGTGTAATGGGAGTACAGGTATATCTTGGAGATATTGCAGGTTCAATTCCAGACCACTACAATAAATGAATATTGCAGTAAAGTGAGTCACAATTCTTTTTGTTTCCCAGTCCATATAAAAGTTATATTTATACTATACTATAGTCTATTATGTGTGTAATAGTATTGTGTCTTTTTTTAAAATCAATAGACATACCTTAGTTTAAAATGATTTATTGCTACAAAATGCTAACCCTCATCTGAGCCTTCAGCAGGTCATAATCTTTTTGCTGGCGGATGGTCTTGCCTCCATATTGATGGCTGTTGATTGATCAAGGTGGTGGTTGTTGAATGCTGGGATGACTATGGCAGTTTCTTAAAATAAGCCAGCAATGAAGTTTGCTGCATGGATTGACTTTCTTCCTTTCACTTGAAATTTAGAGGACATTGTAGGGTTAATAGGCCATATTATTGTGTTTCAGGGAATAGGGTTGCCTGATGAGAGGGAGAGAGACATGAATGGCAGCTCGGTGGAGCAGTCAGAACACACACAACATTTATCAGTTATGTTGCTTGCCTTAGGTGAGCATGGTTCATGGTCCTCCAAAATTACAATACTAACATCAAAGATTGCTGATCACAGATCACCATAATAGATATAATAATAATGAAAAAGTGTGAAATATTATGAGAATTACCAAAATGTGACTGTGAGCACATGCTGCTAGAACAAAATAGCACCAATAAGTTTGATTGACCCAAGGTTGCCACAAGCCTTCAATTTCATAAAAAAAGAAAAGAAAAGAAAAGAAAAGAAAAGAAAAGAAAAGAAAAGAAAAGAAAAGAAAGGAAAAGAAGGAAAGGAAAAGAAAAGAAAAGAAAAGAAAAGAAAAGAAAAGAAAAGAAAAGAAAAGAAAAGAAAGAAAAGAAAAGAAAAGAAAAGAAAAGAAAAGAAAAGAAAAGAAAAGAAAGAAAAGAAAAGAAAAGAAAAGAAAAGAAAAGAAAGGAAAAGAAGGAAAGGAAAAGAAAAGAAAAAAGAAAGGAAAAGAAAAGGAAAAGAAAAGAAAAGGAAAAGAAAGAAAAGAAAAGAAAAGGAAAGGAAAGGAAAGGAAAGGAAAGGAAAGGAAAGGAAAGGAAAGGAAAGGAAAGGAAAGGAAAGGAAAGGAAAGGAAAGGAAAGGAAAGGAAAGGAAAGGAAAGGAAAGGAAAGGAAAGGAAAGGAAAGGAAAGGAAAGGAAAGGAAAGGAAAGGAAAGGAAAGGAAAGGAAAGGAAAGGAAGGAAAGGAAAGGAAAGGAAAGGAAAGGAAAGGAAAGTGTTTGTAAAGTGCAACAGTATGAAATGCAATTAAACTAGGCATGCCTGTACTCATGAAACACTCCCTCAACCCAACTCAATGTGCTGTGGTTCATACCTCATAGTGAACTTGAATCAAGCTCCTAGGCCACTTCAAGTTGGCTCAGTGCTGAAGGACTCGGCTCTTTGGCATGGCATAACCACTAGGAAAAGGGAATACATTAGAAGATCATTGGCCATTGAGCCACAAAGGACTGCTGACACCTTCTTTATGCATTGTCGTTACTGTTGTTCATCCTTTGTTTTCAAAGAGGACCCATGACATCACAAGGGTGATATCTGACTTACATGTGAATTCGATAGAAGTCAGGCAGAGCTGAGCAGAGTCATCAGCCTTACTTTCTCGCCTAGAGTCATTAAAGTCCAATGGCAAGACAAAGGTCAAGACAACTGGTGATGGCCCAGGTTGCAGTGGCTGGGTCTTTCCCAGTCTCCTGAGTTAGACTGAACCTCTTAAAAGCATTAACTATCTCCATTTTTCTATTAGTATCCCCAGTCCTTCGCACATAGTAAGGACTTAAAAAATCTTTTTTCATTCATTCATCATTCAGTAGAATAACTCCATTTGTGCTTCCTTCCATTTGCCAAGTGTATAGAGATTGTCAAAGCTGAGTGGCAGCAGGAGTTGCTTTTTGGCAAGTATGCCTTTCTCAGAAAATATGACCACTGTCAGGAGGATGAGTCCATGCCCTGGTTTGACTTGGCAAAATATATGGACTTTAAGGAAGTTGTTTGAACAGTGCAGAAACTTGGAGAAGTGAAGTGGTCATACAGGAGTCCTACACAATATCATATGTTTTGATGTTTTAAGTTTCAACCTTCCATGAAAATATAAAAGCAGTTATGAGTTACTGTGTCCTGTTTTAACTCTTTGTCCATTTGTTGTAAGTATATGTCAATATACACTTATGAGTATACTTTTTAAACATTTCTTTTATGTGGAAGAAATAAATAGTTGTCCTATACCTGACCTTCATTGCACATTACTCTTCCATTCTCTTTTTGGGGAAATCCTAGATGTGAACCATACCTAAACCTTAAATTATTTTCTATGGGGTAGAAGGTAAGGGCATAGACATAGTGAGGAAAAGCCTGGCTCTTCTCTTTAGAAGGCAGGTTCTTCCAGGACTGAATGTAGTCCACATACAAGCAAAGAGGAAGTACCCTTTTTGAAAGGGTACAAGTCCCAGTCTCCCTGGACATAACTGTTACATGTTATAACTGTTTGCACAAAATAAAAAGGCATCGTTTGACCAATACAACATCTGCATTTTTTTCACAGATGCAAATGCCAGTCAAAATAACTTGAATAGATACATACAAAAAATAAAAAATTAAAGACAGAGTTTTAAAAATTGATATACACCTAACTTATGATATACTGTCTCCCCCTTTTTATTTTTCTTAAATATAGTCACCAAACTGTGGTTATACACCAAGGATTTCTCCATCCCATCCCACCTCTAGGTGTTTGGCCAGGAAGTTGGTGGGTCTTTTTTTTTTTTCAGAGTCATATACATACTCCTAAGACTGTGCCTTCATTGTCAGGCCCCTCCCGGCATAAGGAAAAAAATAATCTGACCTCAGTTTGGAAAATATTGCTCTAGCATAGCCCACACTGTGTTCCCTAGTTTCCCCCTATGAGCTAAACAGAGATTCCAGAAGAAAATTAGGTACTAGTGATGATTTCCTTTTACAGCAAGATTTCTTAAGTGGGAGTCTGTGGATACAAACGGATGTACATAGTATTTCAATATAATCATTTCCTTTGTAATCCTATACATTTTATGTCATACATTTAATAGTATTATTCTGAGAAGGGCCCCATGGGCTTCATCAGACTGCCAGAGAGGCCCATGACATAAGAAAGATGAAGAACTCCTACCCTAAAGTATTATGGCAGGAAATTGAGGGAATTTTACTACTATAGGAACCCATAATTCTTCTCCACCCCTGGAGGAAACATAATCCTTAACCTAAACTTAATCCAAAAATTGCCGTCTCCTGGGGTACCCCTTTCCTGGGAGAAAAACCTAACAAAAACCTAATCTTAAACTTCCCCTGTCCTGGGGGAAAACTTAAACCTAACCCTCACCTTCACGCAGAAGAAATAGGTATGGAGAGCAGGAATCCTACCTCCAGGGGCAGTCTTGCTTAGAAAAAGTCCCTCCATGAAAGATCAACCAGAGCATTCTAGGGAGTTTTTCTGAAACACTATAGGCCCCAAGGTTGGAGTCCTGACTCAACCTTGCTTGCTCTACTGAAAACTATGGTGGGTAGAAGATGAGATGACTGAGGAAGCAAAGGTTTGAGCTTCTGAGTATATTGATTCATCAAGCAGTGCATGTTAATTACACAACAAATTAAAACCAGACCTTCTCAGCTTAGGGCAGGGCCCTGAATATAGAGAGAGATGCTATACACTAAAAACAATCAAATAAGAACAATTAGTTAAAAGAAAACAAGCAGGATGCAAAATTAAGTAATCTGGTTTCTAATTGGAAGAAAGATTAGGGACTTCCCAAATTGGGAGGTACAATTCCCTGAAATCAGAAAAAGAGGTGCCCCAGTCCCTCTCAAATGTTTGCATTCAGTCAAAGGAACATGGAAACAATAACTGGTTGACTAATATAGGGCCAGTTTTCAGATAAGACAGATGGTTGCTTGAGATATATAACTGTGAGAAAACTCCTTGCCTCAATCTTCAGATCTAATTGGGTTTCTGTTCAAATGATAGCTAAGCTATTCTCTACTTTTGTGACCTTGGACAAGTAATTTTATCTGTTTCCTGAAATATAAAATTTGGAGGATATTGGACTATATCATCACTAAGGTAATTTTTGGCTTTAGGTCCATGATCCTATGAAGTTAGATATTAAATATCAAATTACATGTGGATCTAAACTTCTTTCATAAGCAACAATCTGAAGATATGAACATAGGCTGAATTCTTTCTATGTTATTCCAAAATTTCCCCAACCTCTCATTTTCCTGGCATTACTAAGTATTTCCAGCCCCTCAGGGTTGACATTAATGGTTTCCTCTACATATTTCAAGCCCATAAGCATCCTGTGGCCAAATTAGTTTAGCAGACACTAATCTAATGGAGTAGTAACCAAAACCTAGTCCCCCATAAAAATAAAGAGTTAAAAACAATTAAAACAAGGTGTTCAATAAATAAATAAAAAGAAAACAAAACCAAAATGTCTAAAGCGGAAGTTAAAGTTAGATCTTAAAGTAAACCTAAGTCTTTAAAGGGTAACATTATAATTAACTAATAAAAAGCTGATAAGGGCAAAGATATATAACTTCCAGATATACTTATGTTGAGGGCCTCATGGGCACTTAAAGAGAGATAGAAAGGTCATCATAGAACACTATAGGCAGAGAAAGGTCTTGCTTCCTGCTTCCTGTCTCCAAAATTTCTCTTTTTGGTATCAAAAGTGTTCAATGTCTTTACCATATGGCCCTTCTGAGGGGCACAGCTGAAGGACAGAAGAGGAAAGGAAAGATAGAGACAGGACCAGCACGGTTAGCTAAAAGGCAGGCAGCATCATGTTTCCAATTGATCTGCAATCTGAGAACATGAGTTTGCATCACAGATGTGATCCTTACTAGTTGTTTCACTATGGGCTAGTCAATTGATTTCTTTAGGCCTTGGTTTCCTCAAATCAGGGTTTTCTAGGAAATTGTCTTCAAGCTTCCTTTTAGCTCTTATGATTAATTAATTAATTATTTAAGAATTAACTAATTAATTAATAATTAAAAAGTTTCAAGAGACATCATTTCTGGGTAATTTAATAATTTTATCAATAAGTCCAGCAGGTTATTAATAAAAGGATGGTCATTTGACCATTTCTCTCAAACCAAAGACCCCTAATAGCAGTGAGATCACAGTTTTTATGCCCTTCCAAGAGGAAATGTTCCTGGAAGATGGTTAATCACCTCTGATTGGTTAATCAAATGGGAAGTAGGCTATCTTAGATATGTGACTTAGGTCACTCAAGTCTTAGTCAAAGAGACATCAATTCTCATATCACCTATCTTGATAATAGGGAGAATCGACATTTTCCCCTCCTCCCCGCCAGGACCTGTCTGAGCAAACATAATGAGCAGGAATACACCCATTAGCCTAAACTTAGAATTTCTTTCACTGGCTGATTAGATCTTGGCCTGGGTAAATATCTAAGAGAAAATTTCCCACGCTGGTTGGTTTCTGTATGAAGAAGTAGAAAAGAGGTCCTAATACAATAATTAGGTATTAAATATGAGAGAAATAGTCATTTCTCATACTCTAAACACAATGCTCTGGCTCTTCTGTCATATGTCCTGAATCAAATGTCCTCTTCTTTAGAGCCCATGCTCCTTCCTACCCAGCTCACAGAGGGTGCGTTCAGCTATTACTCAATAATTTGTACTAGCTAGGGCAGCTAGGTGGCGCAGTGGATAGAGCACTGGCCCTGAAGTCAAGAGGACCTGAGTTCAAATCTAACCTCAGATCAAACACTTGATACTTACTGGCTGTGTGAACCTGGGCAAGTCACTTAATCCCAATTGCCTAAAAATAAAATAAAATAAAATAAAAATTTGTAGTGGCTGCTAGAACGGGCCCCTGAAGACAGCTGATCACCACCTCAGTCATCCCAAAGAATCATGGGGATGGGAGAGAGAAAGATAAGGGTGACTTTCTTCTAGGCCTTGAAAAAAGGATTAGAGGGGCAAAGGTATAGGAAATACTCTAAGGGAATAAGAATAAAAGTATCATAGGCCAGGGGATTTGGAGGGAGAGGGGAGAGTAGATAGGATCACAGACTAACCCAGAGGCATATCCTTCCCCAAACCCAGCTCATCATGCCAAACAGGAGTATGAAGGTTTTGAGTCTAGTCAGAGCCTATAGCAGGTAAGAGGATTTGTGCTCTCTTCCCTCTCCCAGACACATGACAGAAAACGTTTAAGCCATCAAATGGCCTTCAGAAACACTGAGGAGTCTCAGTTATGTCCTCTATGAGCTGTAAAAGGTTGTTGTGTTCTTGTGTAACAAATATATTTACTGTTACATTCTATTACACAAACATGTTGAGCGCTGATGTACAAGGCACTGTTATAATACAATAAACAGATCTGATTGACCAGAAAGAAAAAACAATTTGGGAATGTCATGACTTCAAAATCATGTAGAAAGTTCCCCACTGGAGGGGAAAAAATTAATTTAATTCAATAAGTATTTGAATACTTATTATGTTTCAAGCATTGTTAAGCGCCGGATTACAAAGACAAAGACAAAAACAGTTCCTACCCTCAAGGAACTTACCTTATACTGAGGGAAAATATGATGAACAGACACACAGACACACACACACACACACACACAAATATAAAATATATACAAAGTAAAAAGAAGAGGAAATACCACAAATACACACAAAAAGAATTACAAAATATATACAAAATAAGGGAAAATACCATGAATACACACACCAAAAAAAATACAAAATATATACAAAGTAAAATATGAGGAAATTACCATGAACACACACAAAAAGAATTACAAAATATATATAGAATAAAACAAGGGGAAATACCATGAACACACACACACACACACAAAATTACAAAATATATACAAAGTAAAACAAGGGGACATACCATGAACACAAAAAATAAAATACAAAATATATACAAAGTAAAACAAGGTAGTTTATGTAGAGGATGAGAGGGGGAAGCTGACAAATGAGAAGAGAAATAAAGTCCTCACATAGGAGGAGGTGGCACAATTAGAGTGAAGGGAAGTAGGCATCTCAAAAGTGCAGAGATGAAGAGGAAAAGCATCACTTGCATAGGTGGCAGCATATACAAGGACCAGGAGACAGGAAACAAAATATCTTGCAAGACTGAAATGATTCAGCCAAGGTCACACAGCTAGTAAGTACCGGACCTGTGAGTCAGATGCAGGTTCTCAGACTCCTGAGCCAGTAGAAACACTCCCCGGCCTTGAATCTCGATTGACTCTGTTTCCTTCCTTTCCTCTTCTGTGAATCATCCATGCCACACAAAAGGTAGGTATAAGATAGCACACGAGTCAGTTTAATTGGAATATAGGATGTGTGCAAAATATAGAATGTGAAGCCAGTCAGGAAAGATAGGTTGAGGCAAGATCATGAAAAGCTTTAAATACCAAACAGAGGAATTTATAGTTTATACTAGAGGCAAGAGGGAGCCGTTGAAGCTTCTTCAGGAGGGGAATAATACAGTGAGACTTGGGCTTTAGGAATATCAATTTGGCAGTGGGGTGAAGAATGGATTGGTGGAAGAAAAACTATGGAGACCAATTAGGAGTTCATTTCAGTAGTCCAGGAAAGGTGATGAGAGTTTGCCTATACTTGACTCATAAGGGTGCTGGCCTTGTGAGTAAAGAGAAGAGGATGAATTAAAAAAGATAGTATGGATATAGTATTTGATAAGATTTGGCAGCTGATTGGGGTGGGGGAACAGAGAGAGGAGAATGGAGGATTCTCTGAGGTTGGGAGAGCAAATCTAGAATCTGGATAAACAGTTGTGTAACAAAGAGATTTGCTAAAGATTTCCTTAAAATCTAGAATATGGTAAGAAATGCCTTTTTCTTTGGAGGTCACACAGCAAAACACAAATAACACTTTGGTTGAAAGAAGTTACTGGGTTAAGGTCTCTATCATTGTTATAGATTTAGAGCTGTAACTTCAAGCGGCACACTGGCCAACATCTCAAGGGCAGTCCAACCAGATTAAAACGTAATTGGGAAATATTTAACAAAACAAATAAAAATAAAATTAAGTAGAGAATGTTAGAAATGTAAAAGTAAGTCAACACCTGGCCTGCAGGGAACTTTATGTATAGACTAGTAGTTCCTGTTTCTATTTGAGTTTGACACTGATCTCATCCAACTTCCTCAATTTACAGATGAGGAATCTGAGATCCAGGAGACTTAAGTTACTTGACCAAGTTGACACAGAGAGTGAGAGGCTGAGAGCGGTTCTAATTCAAACCCAAGCTCTCTGTTTCAACATTGTGCACGTTACAGGGCCCTTTGCAGCTTTCCAGAAATGCCAGTCTTGTCTGGGACAATCTATCTCCCTTGGCTGGGTAAAATATTGACCTTTGACACTTTGCTGTTGCTTTAAAATGGTTAAAGAATCAAAAAAAAAAGCCCTTTTCCACACGTAAGCCTCCGCCCAATACAGTCTTTGTATGTTAGAAAGAGCAGGAACAAAACAGAACTGGAACTTGAAATGGTCCCTTATAAAAATATACCAGGGGACAGCTAGGTGGTACAGTGGATAGAGCGCTTGCCCTGGAGTCAGGAGGACCTGAGTTCAAATATGACTTCATACACTTACTAGCTGTGTGACCCTGGGCAAGGGACTTAACCCAGTTGCCTCAAAAAAAACCCAAAAAACCAACAACAACAACAACCATGCCATTCCTGCTAATAGGGTCCTTGGGAATCTATTAAGTTCAACCTTTCATTTTACAGATGAGTAAACTGAAGCCCAAAGATATGAGATCTGTCCAAGTTGGTCTAGGACTTAAACCCAGATCACTTGACTCCTAGGCTGGGCCCTTTCTTACTATTAAAAAAAAAAAACTTACTCCAATTGCAACCTATGGTTTTTCAGTCTCTCATTCATAAATCAAACTTTCTAGCACAAATTAAGGAATTTCATGAATAGTCAAGCTTCTCTATCAATCAATCAGTCAATCCACAAACATGTATTAAGTACCTATCATGTGCCCTGCTGTGAAATATAAAGACAAAAGTGGAACAATCCCTGTCCTCAAGGAGTTTACATTTATGGACATATATAGGTATATTAAAAATATATATATATACAAAAGTTATACAAGGCGATTTGGGGAGGAAGGGCCCTAGGAGCTGAGAGATCAGAAAAGGTTTCATATAGAAGGCTGGGTCTTAAAGGAGACTGGGGCTAAGCGTCAGAGATAAGGAGGGAGTACATTCCAGAAGTCACTACATGAATCATTTAAAATAGTAAGTAATACAAAAGTGAATCATGTTTGGCTTTAGAGATTTTTAAATAGCTTTATAAAGTGGTTATGGTTTCCTAACTATACTTTGCATATCCAACATATAATTAGTTATCCTTTCCTGAGCATTTCTCAGAGAACTGGCCCCAGACTCAGAAGACTTGGGGTTAAGGACCATCTATGCCATATACTAGTTATGTGACCCTGAGCAAGTCACAACCTCGCAGTGCTCTGAGGCAACAATTCTCTAAAATTATCCCCAATCAGGCAACCTGCATTGATAAGAGGAAGTTTCCTATTTCCATGAAAGTTGAGGTCCAATTCTTATCCCTAACTCTAGCACTATCCCTGAGCACGTGCTGCCTGGCTGATAAGAAAAGTGGATAGAAACAAGGCAGGTGATGGGAGGAGTCCAGTCTAGGATTTAAGAATTGTCAAAGATACTCTGTAAAACAGATAACCTGTAGATAGATAAGGAGAACTGATTACATTATCAAATTACTGAAAACATAGCTAAGGACCAGGCTGCAAGTCATAACAAACAAGTTCACTTAAAAAAGTTACAATAAGAGTATACAGAATTTAGACACAGCTGGAGTCAGTGTCATTGAAAATAAAATGAAGAACATTTGGGAGCAAACTGTGGTCTCTGTAAAGGAACAGATATCATCAGCATTTAGCAATAATGTTCTAGGAAATGAACATGAGATAATATTTTCAGAATAGCCTCTGGGTGATCTAAGTCCTTATTATCTCCTTATGTGATTCATGAAGAGTAGATATTGAACCAACAGAAGTCATAGGATCTTAGATGGATAGCAGGAAAAGGCCTCAGAGGTCATCCAGTCTAACACCTTTATTTTACAGATGAGGAAAATGAGGCCCAGAGATTTGAAGAAACCTGCCCAATGTCACTAAGGTAATATGACACAGAGAGAGAGAGAGAGAGAGAGAGAGAGAGAGAAAGAGAGAGAGAGAGAGAGAGAGAGAGAGAGAGAGAGAGGCAGGCCAGGGTGCAAACCCAGGTCCTCTGACTCTGATTCCAGCACTATCCACGGTACCACACTGCCACTGTCAGAATACAAAGAAAACAAAAAAAAAATCAATGCCATCCTCCTTGAGGAAGTCAGCTAATGAGCTGGCTGGTAAGAAACCAAATCTGTTTAATTGTAAAGAGAGATATTTGTGCGTGTCTGTGTGTGAGCGTGTGTGTGTATAATACACATACATATCTCTCTTCATCACTAAACAGATTTGGTTTCTTACTACCTATATTACATATAGTATATCTAATCTATAATAATATAACATAAATAATACATATACATATACATTTAAATACATGCATACACATATATAATTATGTGTTTTATAATATATTGTATATTATATCAATTCTATAATAAAATATAATTAATAATATAACTATAATTTAAATTTATATATAGATAATTTTTAAAGGAAAATTGTTTTTTAATTTTAATTTTAATTAAAATTTAATTTTAAAGGGTAATTGTTTCTCAAAGAGTTCAGGTCCTGTAGGTCCCTTAATATATATTGGTTAATCTGCCTGAGCAGAGGAAAGATAATCAGAAAATCATGGACTCAGCCCTGACTATTAGGTTCACCCCTTTCATCCTACAGGTGAGGAAAGCAAGGTCCAGAAACCTTAAGGGACCTGCCCAAGTTAGTAACAAAGGAAGGAATACAGCCCAGAATGCTTGACTAGCAGATTGGGGCCCTTTCTAGTATCTTTTTTTTTGGTTTTCTAAGTATAAACTATTAATGGAACTCTAACAAATATGTGTTCCTGAGGCTTTCGCCCAGAGAACTCCCATGGGATGGGTAGGTAGAAGAGAAATGGGAGACAGATGTGGGAAGATGACAATGACTGTGAGCACTCTCAGAGGAAAAAGTACATCCAGGCCCTTCTTTCTGGCAGGCCTTCCCTCAGGGCCACACCAGAGCATCAATGCCTAGCTTCATTGGACATCTGCCAGCAGTATGCTGGCACTAGCTCAAACTGGCTAGAGTGAAAGCAGATTGTTAAATTTTCAGTGTGAGCATTTAGACCTCTGAAATAGGTGAAAAGCTGAAAAAAAAACAGGCTTGGTTTATTTTTCTGTCTTTAGACTTAAGAAAGTGATGGAGAAAATGTGAATAATGTGAATTAAAGTGTTTCAGGGCAGCTAGGTAATGCAGTGGATAGAGCACTGGACCTGGCGTTAGGAGGGCCTGAGTTCAAATGTGACCTCAGACACTTACTAGCTGTGTGACACTGGGCAAGTCACTTAACCCTAATTGCCTCCATACACAAAAAGTGTTTCCTGCGTACATTTTTTCCACCAGATAGCTGGTTGTTAAATATTTACCATCACACCACTGACCAGCATCAATCACAATGATAACCAGGTTGCTCACCAACCCATGGTGTTTTAGAAGGCGAGGGAGGAAGATGAAAGGCTCTCTGTCCCTTCCCATCCCATTGGATTCCCCAGCTGAGTTTACCCTAGAACCAGAATTGCCAGTTCAGACTATGTTGTAAAGATTGCTTAAGTTACAAACAGTAGCATTGCCTTCCATACTTTCATTTGACTCTCAGTTTATCTTTGCTAGTGGTTTGAGAAGTGGACTCTCTGAGGCATATCATCATCATCATCATCATCATCATCATCATCATCATTTTAACAAAGGACTCATGCAACTAAAAAGTTTCAGTTGTAAGGACAGGCTATGCAGTTAATAGGGGCAATCATAGGATTGACCATATAATAGTATCTCTACCTCTCACTCACTACACTATAGTGAAGCTTGTTGAGTAGGAGGAAGGGGACTACAGAGTCAAAACGGCCCTCCCACAAGTAGAGCCCTATATCAGATGGCACCGCCCTATCTTGGGGTTGTGGGTGAGGAGAGAGGAGTAGAAAATTTGGAACTCAAAATCTTTTGGAAGTGAATGTTGAAAATTAAAAATAAATTAATTTAAAAAGGAAAGGAGAGGAGAGGAGAGGAAAGGAGAGGAGAGGAGAGGAGAGGAGAGGAGAGGAGAGGAGAGGAGAGGAGAGGAGAGGAGAGGAGAGGAGAGGAGAGGAGAGGAGAGGAGAGGAGAGGAGAGGAGAGGAGAGGAGAGGAGAGGAGAGGAGAGGAGAGGAGAGGAGAGGAGAGGAGAGGAGAGGAGAGGAGAGGAGAGAAGAGAAGAGAAAAGAGAAGAGAAGAGAAGAGAAGAGAAAGAGAAGAGAAGAGAAGAGAAAGAGAAAGAGAAGAGAAGAGAAGAGAAGAGAAAAGAAAAGAAAAGAAAAGAAAAGAAAAGAAAAGAAAAGAAAAGAAAAGAAAAGAAAAGAAAAGAAAAGAAAAAGAAATACTCCTCCTGACCATCTTAACTGATTCTGAGAGTCTCCAGGGCAGAGATTCCTAACCTTTTTTGTATGTGGCCCCTTTTGGCAGTCTTATAGACATCTTCTCAACATAATGTTTTTAAACACATAAAATAAACCACATAAGATTGCAAAAGAAACTAGACATATTAAAATAATTATTAGGGGCAGCTAAGTGGTGCGGTGGATAGAGCACCGGCCCTGGATTCAGGAGGACCTGAGTTCAAATTCGGTCTCAGACACATTACACTTACTAGCTGTGTGACCCTGGGCAAGTCACTTAACCCCAATGCCTAATCAAAAAAAAAATAATTATTAAAATATTAAAAGTGGGTCTTCCTTTTATTCCTCACTATCCCACTCTCCACAACTTTTCTAAGCCTTTTCTTCCTTCCTCAAATTTCCCATGGTTCCCTCCGTCCACTCTCTCAGCTGAGAACTTTGCCTTATATTTCCACTCACAAAATTGAGCCAATTCACAGGGATTTCCCTATTATTCCTTTGTCTTCATCTCACATCACTCATATACCTTCTGCCACTATTTCCTCCTTTACTCCTCATGTCTCAAGTGGACAGATGGCCCTTCTCCTTGCCAAGGCAAACCCTCTATAAGCACGCATAATCTCTTTCCAAACTGTCTTCTGTAGTACATGGCTTCTTCTATCATTCCCATTCTCTCACTAATCTTAAATCTCTCCCTGGCTACAGTTTTCCTACTGTCTACAAACAGGTTCATATTTTTCCCATCCTCCAAAAACTCTCTCTTTATCTGTCTGTTCCCTATAGCTATCATCCTATATCTCTGCTTCTCTTTCCTGGATAAACTCCTTGTGAAGGCCACCTACAATTGGTGTCTGCACTTCCTTTCATCTCACTTTCTTCTTAACCATCTGGAATTTGTCTTTCTTCCAGCCTCATCAATCAACTGAAGCTGCTCTCTCCAACATTACCAGTGATCTCTTAATTGCCAAATCTAATGGCCCTTTCTCAAAATACTTATTCCTCTTGACCTCTCAGCAGCTTTCAACACTGTTGATCATATTCTTCCCTTTGACACTCTCTTCTCTTTGGGTTTTCGTGACACTCCTCCTACCTGTTCAACCCCCTCCCTCTCAATCCCTTTTGCAAGCTCTTCATCTAAGTCATGCCCACTAAACCTCATGAACTCTCTTCACTTCTTGCTAGATGCTATTTTACGAGGTGGTCTCATCAGCTTTCATAGATTCAATTCTCATAGCTATGCAGATGATTCTCAGCTCCATTTATACCACTGTAACCTCCCTGTTGATCTCCAGTCTTGCATCTCCACCTGCCTGTTGGACATCTCCAACTAGATGTCCCATAGACATCTTAAACTACCAAGTCCAAAACTGAACTCGTTATCTTCCCCAAGAACCTCACCCCCAACTCTTGCTACCTTCCTACATGCTATTGAGGGTGCAACCAACTTCCCAGTCATCCAAGCTCAAAACCTGTGTTGCTACCATCTCTTTACTCTCCACCTCTTCCCTCCAATATCCAACCAGCTGCCAAGCATTTTTATTGGCTGTCCCCCTTACCTGGAGCTCTCTTCCTTCTCACCTCTATCTCCTTCCTGCTCATCTTTAACTCTTAGCTAAAGTCCCACCTTCTATAAAAAGCCTTTTCCAATCCTCCTTAATCTTAGTGTCTTTCCTCTAAGATTATTCCCAATTTATCATATATGTGTGTATATGTATATATGTATATATATATATAATACACATATATACATATATACATATATACATATATACACACATATATACACACATACATATACATATACACACATATATGTATGTATATGTGTATGTATATATGTATATCTATATGTATGTGTGTGTATATATATAGATAACTACATCTATATATCTTGTTTTACATAGTTGTTTGGATTTTGTCTCTTTCTTTAGACTGGGAGCTTCTTGAAACTAATGACTGAATTTTGTTTTGTTTTGTTTTGCCTTTCTTTGTATCTCCAGTGCTTAGCACAATACCTGGCATATAGTAGGTACTTAATAAATGTTGTTGGCTTAAAAAAATAAAAGTGCATGGGCCACAGGTTAAGAACTCCTGCTCCAGAAGAAATGGCACATCCTTCTTCTGTGCTTTCTTCTGGAAGACCTCACACATCTGCTTCCTTGAACTGCTGCTTACCTGCCCCTTCTCCTTTATAAAGGAGTGCCACCACTCTCCCCATCCATCCTAATCCATACTATCCCATGATAAGCCTCTCTGAACTTGGGGTAGGGAGCAGTCAATAACTAGACTTGGAGCCAATGTCCTTCCGGTGCAATATTGTCTGCTAGAGCTGGTGCTCTTTAGGACCATCTTTCAGGAACCCAGATTCAACTCTGAACCACAGTGAGGCATAAGATTTGAGTATCTTTAAAAGTTGTGCACCAATAATCCAGCCATTCTGGAAAGTCATTTGGAGCCATGCCACAAAAGTCAATAAACTGTGCATACCCTGTGACCCAGCAATGCCACTACTACCTAGATAGGTCAGAGTTGGAGGGAAAAGACCAACGTGTACAAAATACACACACACACACACACACACACACACACACACACACACACACACACAAGCATTTTTGGTTACAGCAAAGATCTAGAAATAAAGGGGTGCCCAGTAATCAGGAAATGGCTAAACAATCAATTAGCATACATGAATAAAATGGAATATTACTGGGTTGTAAGAAATTATGAAAGCCACATACTCAAAGAAATCTGAGAGGATTTCTTTGAACTAATGCAGAGTGCAATGAGCAGAACCAAGAGGACAATTTATATAATGACAACAGTATTGTAAAGGAAACAACTGTAAAAGACTTGAAAACTCTGATCAACCCAATGACCTTTCGGGATTAGAGAAGACTGATGGCCCATCATGGTTCCACCTGTTGGTAGAGAGGTGAAGAATGATAGCTGCAGAATGAGACACACATTTTCAGAGAAAGCAAATGCACGGATTCATTTTGCTTGACTACATTCATTTGTTGTAGGGATGGTTTTCATTTGGGAGAGGGGCATGGAATGATTAACGGGGAGGAGCAGTGCAATAGTGGTGTTTAAAGCTCATCACAACTTGGTCTCAGTTTATATTTCCAAACTTATTATACAGTTTTCCTCTTTGCACATTCTATGTCCAACCCAACTGGCCTTATTATTCCTCATATACAGCAATCTATTTCCCGACCCTAGGCCTATGTGCATGGTTGCCTGGAATGCTTAGAATGCACTCTCTCTCACCTCTGCCTCTTAGAATTCCCCAGTTTCCTTTAAGATCCAAGTCAAGGATGATTGCACATATATAACCTATATTAAATTGCTCAACTTCTTAGGGAGAAGGAAGGGAAAGGAGAGAGGGAAAAAAATTGGAATTCAAAATTTTATTTAAAAATTAGTGTTAAAAATTGTTTTTACATGTAACTAGAAAAAATAAGACACTTTTTAAAAAAATTCATCTTTTGCATGCAGCCTTTCCTGATTTCCCCACCTGTTAGTGACTTTCACCCAAATTACCTTGCACTTATTTTGTATATAAATTATTTTGACTCTAAGAGAAGGTGCCATTTGCATTGGTAGGGGATGTTTTCCTCACATGAGAGTTCCCTATGCCAATGAAATCAGGCCCAGTTTCATATTTAAGTATGTACATTTTTATGTCTATCATGTCTCCCCACCATAGACTGTAAACTCTTTGAGAGCATGAACTGTTACCTCCAATGCACAGCACAGTGCCTGGAACATAGTAGACCTTTAATAAATGTCTGTTGATTGATTGATGGAATACTAGCTAGGTCCTTATTAGAATCTTTTGACTAATTAGGGGCACTCTGTTTTAAGAATACTGTAAGAAAACCGGGAACAATCTATAAAACAAAAGAAAATCATTAAAGAATTAAGTAGGCTATATGAGGAAAGAGCAAATAATTTCACGTCATTCCTATTTAGTCCAGAGAAAAGAAGACTGAGCTTATCTCAATCATTATCTTCCAACAACATGAAGGGTTATTTTAGGGAAGGGGTGATATGGGTCAAGCATTGCACTAAGTGTTTTATAAATACTTTCTCCTTGGATCCTCCCAACAACCCTGCAAGATGTAAACTATTATTATCCCATTTGACAGTTGAGGCAACTGAGGCAGTCAGAGGTTAAGTGATTTGCCCAGGGTCATAAGTTAGTAAGGGTCTGAGGCCAAATTTGAACTCAGGTCTTCCTGATTCCAGGCTCAGCACTCTATCCACTGACTAGCTCTCTACCTTATACCTTGGACTTGTCCAAAGGGTGTCTTCAACTAGTTCTTCCAGGGCTCTTTGGATTGAAGCAGACTTTTCTAAAATACAAGAGATAAAATTATCTCTGGAGATAGTGTTAGTCTACCTAGGGAATCAAAAAGAGAAAGTGATTTAAATTGTAAGACAAGGAATTTGTAGCAAAAAATATTTTTAAATCAGTTCAATTCAATAAGCATTTATTAGATGTCTACCATGTATCACTGTACTAGGTAGGCAAAATTTTTAAAAACAGTCCCAGTCCTCAAAGAGCTTCCATTTACTAGAATGTAATTTGTACAGCTGGGCGATGCAGTGAATAAAAGCACCCGGACTAGAATCCAGAGGACCTGAGTTCAAACTTGATCTCAGGCACTTACTAGCTGTGTGACCTGTTTGCCTTAGTTTCTTCATCTGAAAAATCAGCCTGAGAAGGAAATGGCAAACAACTCCAGTATCTTTGCCAAGAAAACCCCAAAAGAGGTCGTAGAGAATTGGCCACAACTGGAAAAGGACTTAACAACAACAAAAACTTGTAATACAATGATAAAATTAGATACTAGATTACTCAAGGAAGCAATGTGATTTGATGGAAAGACTTCAGGATTCAGAGTCAAAGGACCTGGGTTCAAAGCCTAGTTCTGCTACTTACTAGGGTATTTTCCCACTCTGTGCCTCAGTTCCTTTATCTGAAAAAGGAGAGGTTGTCCTGGATGACCACTAGTTCTATATCTATAATCCTGGTAAGTAGTTAGGATGGAAGAGGAAGATGGAAAAATAATTAGACAGAAGCAGGAGGCAGCTAGGTGGTTCAGTGGATAGAGTGCTAGGTTTGGAGTCAAGGAGACCTGAGTTCAACTAGCTGTATGACCCTGGGCAAGTCACTTAATCTCTGTTTGCCTTAATCCATTGGAGAAGGAAATGGTGAACCACTCCAGTATCTTTGCCAAGATGGACATACTGTCCATGGGGTCACAAAGAGTCGGATATAACTGAACAACTAGAAGACCTATTCTTTAATCTTGGGGAACTCAAAAATCAACTGAGTTTAGAGTCTTTAACCTGAGGAGATATGAGATGACTCCTTAGCTACTCTGAGTCCAAAGAGCTTACAACCACCCCCACTGTCTTATACAGATAAAGACACTTCCCATGTTCACAAGGTCAGAAATTCACCCAGAGGCGTTTCAGCTCACTGGTAGGCATAGAGAAGGGAGGGACCCAAAAGCCAAGATCTCATTCTTGGAACAAAGGAAATTATTTTTTTGTGAATCAAAGAGGCTAGTATGTAAATAAGAGCTTTGCATAACCCAGACTCCAGTTTATCTTCAGCCTGAGTCACTTCCTTTGTAAAGCCAGAATTGAAGGAGATAGAGATACATAATCTATTATTATCCAGGCCATACCTTTTTAACAGTCCTTTCCTTGTCTTTCAAATAGCAAGCTGGTGAAGTGTTCCCTTTTTGACTAGGCAGCATTATTGTTTTGCATAAGGTGCACACCCTATCTGCCAGTTAACAGCCTTACTGAGCAGGGAGGGTGGGAGTTAAGGGACATGAATGGGTGAGTGAGATAACTAGCGTTCTGGTGTACGATAAACACACACATGCACTGAGGAAAGGGCCACTGCTTCTTCTGGGAAAGTGAATCTGACACCTACCAAGACCCTATGGGCAGCGAGGTGGTACAGTGGATAGAGCACCGGCTGTGGAGTTAGGAGGAGCTGAGTTCAAATCTGGCTCAGGCTTGACACTTACTTAGCTGTGTGACCCTGGGCAAGTCGCTTAACCCCAATTGCCTTGCCAAAAAGAGAGAGAGAGAGAGAGAGAGAGAGAGAGAGAGAGAGAGAGAGAAAGAGAGAGAGAGAGGAAGAGAGAGAGGAAGACTCCAGTACTCACCAGAGATGATATAGTCTACCCCACCATGAACAATGATAGGGAAAGACTCAGGTGAAGCTTTAATTTTGCTTCCAGCATAGTAGCTGAGAGAGGACCCCTTGTACCAGTAAGAACAGTAAATTTGGACTTGGAAGACCTGGGTGCCATTTTCTCCAATTCTGACTGGGAAATCTGCATCCAGAGAATAGAAGTATGTATAGAATGATTTTATTCTCTCTCTCTCTCTCTCTCTCTCTCTCTCTCTCTCTCTCTCTCTCTCTCTCTCTCTCTCTCTCTCTCTCTCTCTCTCTCTCTCTCTCTCTCTCTCTCTCTCTCTATCTCTATCTATATATATATATATATATATATATATATATATATATAAATGTATGTATATATATACATACATACATACATATATGTATTTGTATCTAATAGTAGCCATCTTGGGGGAGAGGGAAGAGAAAAAGGAAATTTACATGATAACATATATTTAAAAGAAATAGCAAGCTGTACATAATAGATTGGCAGTTTCATGTGCAATCATCTTTTTTGCAGTTTCATGTGCAATCATCTTTTTTATTGAACTATGTTACAGAAACACTTGTTTTATTTCATAAATTAAAAATAAAATAAAATTTTAAAAGTGGGATATAAAAAAAAGAAAGAAATAGTGCATTATTATGGATGGGCAAGTCAGTTAAATTCTCTAGGTTCTAGGATTTGGGAGCTAGAAAGTATCTTAGAGGTCATCAGGTGTGCCTCTCTCATTTTACAGATCAGGCCAGTGAGGACCTAAGAAGTGAAATGACTTGACAAATTCATATAAATTGATTTGTGACAACTGTCACAATTTGGTCACAAAGAGTCGTTCATGACTGAAAAACAACTAAACAATAAAAATCTGCCACTAATGGTACAATACAGGCATAATAATACTTAGACTACTAACCTCAAAGTATTGTTGGGAAAGGAAAGGGCTTTGTAAACCACAAAGTTGCTACATAAATACGATCTATGGTTGTTATTATCTTAGGATAGGACTGGACCTGTGATTTCATTGCTGTAGGGAACTCTCAGATAAGGAAACTCTCTACCAACACAGATAATACATCTTCTGCAACTTGTAGTCTTAGACACCTGCCTAGAGCACTGTTGTTAAGATGTTTTCCAGTCGTGTCGGATTCTAGGTGACCCCGTTTGGGGTTTTCTTGGCAAAGATACTAGAGTGGTTTGCCATATCCTTCTCTAGCTCATTTTATAGATGAGGAAACTGAGGCAAACAGGGTTAAGTGACTTGCCCAGGGTCACACAGCTAGTAAGTGTGTGAGGCCATATTTGAATTCAGGAAGATGAGTCTTCCTGACTCCAGGCCCAACACTGTAAGCACTAAAGGATTAAGTAACTTGCCCAGAATCAAAAAGCCAGTATGTATCAAAGGCAGGACTTGAACCCAGGTCTTCCTGGTTCCAAGGCCAGCTCTCATTCCTTTACAGCACAGTGCCTGTCATATTATTATCTTAGTGTGTTCATCGGCCAGAAGATTGAGAAGGAAAAAAAAAACCCACTAATCCATTCACATATAAACATTCTGCCACTAAATTTGTGGTCTGCTTTGGTCAATGAGTATATTAGCTTGCTCATAAAAATAATGAAAAGGCTACATGTTCGTTATCTTCTTTACAACTTCGTTGCCTGACAAAGTTCATTTCCCAGTTCATTTCCACATCCATTTATCTAGGAAAGAGAATCACCAAATCAGAGAACCTCAAAGTAGGAGGGTCTCAGAGACCACCTCACCCATTCTATAACCACACAATAATCTAGTCCAAGCTAGTTCCTCTCCAACATCCATGAGGAATCTTTGCTTAAGTCAGAGGGAGCTGCCCTCTGTATCCAAGCAGTACAATTCTTTTTTTTTAACTAACTTCTTTTTTTTTCATCTAATTTAATAGTATTTTATTTTTTGAAAGATTTTCAGTTCCAAATTTTTCTCCTTCACTTCTCCTCTCCCCAAAATGGCAAGCAATTTGTTACAGGTTATATAAGCATGTATAACATATTTCCACATTAGTCATGTTGTAAAAGAAGAAACAGAACAAAAGGGGGAAAAACATAGAAAGAGTGAATATGGTATGCTTCAATCTTCATTCAGACTCCATCCATTCTTTCTCTGGATGTGAGTAGCATTCTCTATTGTGAGTCTTTTGGAATTATCTTGGATCAGTGCATTGCTGAAAAGAGCTAAGTCAATCACAGCTGATCATCACACGTTGTTACTGTTACCATGTACAATGTTCTCCTGGTTCTGCTCGCTTTATTCAGCATCAGTTCATGTAAGTCTTTCCACGGTTTTCTGAAATCTGCCTCCCAGGCAGTATAATTCTGAATCCTCTCCCTCATGGCAGCCAGTCACATGCTTGTAGATAACAACCCTGACTCTACTGCCCTTCAAACCTTCTCTCTTTTAAACTCAGTATCTCCAGTTCCGTTCTTTTCAATTATTTCTCTGAAAATGTAACTGTCCTGGTCACCAAAGAAGAATGGCAGCCTTTCTGCTTCTCACATCCTTCCTAAAATGTGGCGCCCAGTACTGAACACAAAGCTCCAAGCATGGGAAGACCAGGGCTCTGAATTTTGTTCGGCAGTTAAGACATGATTACCCCCTTCACCTGAGTAAAAAGCAAACATCCTACCTATAAACAGAAATCCCATTATCCAATCAGCTCCACCCACCTTCTCCCTCCTGGAACTGATCTTCAGATAGCTGCCTAACTTCCTTGTTTTTTCATTTGATTTTATTTTTCAATTAACAAGTATTTTTCTCCTCCTTCCACCTCCCTCTCATTTAAAGGAAAAATAAACCCTTATAATAAATACACACAGTTCAGCAAAACAAATGCTTACAGCATCCATGTTCAGAAATGTATGTCTCATTCTGCACCCCTGGATCCATCACCTCTCTGTCAGGGGTGGGTAGCATTCATCACAGGTCTGCTGGAATCATTGCATTCAACAGCATTCTTAAGGCTTTATTTCTTCTTCTTCTTTTTTAAACTTTTATTCACATCTTTTGTTTCTACATTACTAACATTTACAGATTATGTTCACTTTGTAAGATGTCTCAACAAATTAAAGAGCTAAGTAACACTAATGTCATTGGAAAGTGCACACAGTATTTCATTTCTATAGTACCTCCAACTCCATTTTTGAAAATCAATAGAAATCAATTTACTCTCCCTCCCACCTCATACCCCACTGAGGAAAGAAAAGAAAAAGAAATTTTTTATAAACAAATGTGCGTAATCAATCAAAATAAATTCCCTCAATGTCTATGATGCAAAAATTCAGGGTCTTGCAAAGGTTTTAATGCAGTTATAAGATTTGAGAGCAGTTAAGAGTTTTAGACTTTTGGGGATGCCCTTTATCTATGTCCCATTCTAACCTCTAAGGCCATCCCCTCTCTGTCATGGATAGCCTGGTCCTTTGTAATCCTGATTTGTTATTGTATTGATCATACTTCTTACAGCTTTCAGAGTTGTTTGTCTTTACAATGCTGTTATTATCATACATTCTGCTCTCCTGGTTCTGCTCAATTTAGTCTGCAGAAGTTCCTAAAACTATTTTCTTTCTTTTTTTAAGGCAATCAGGATTAAGTAACTTGCCCAGGGTCACATAACTAGTGTCTAAGGCCTGATATGAACTCAGAGGGGCGGCTAGGTGGCACAGTGGATACAACACCAGCCTTGGAGTCAGGAGAACGAGTTCAAATCCAGCCTCAGACTCATGATACTCACTACCTGGGCAAGTCACTTAACCCTAACTGCCTCGACAAAAACAACAATAATAATAATAATAAAATAATAATGCTTGAAACAAAAAAGGGGGGGCAGCAAAGTGGCACAGTAGATAGACCCCAGCAGAGGACCTGAGTTCAAATCCAGCCTGAGACACATAACACTCACTAGCTGTGTGACTCTTGGCAAGTCACTTAACCCCAACTGCCCTCATACACACACACACATACACACACAAAACAGATATGAACTCAGGTTCTCTGCTAGCTATCCACTGCACCACCTAACTGCCCCCCTAAAACTATCTTCATGTGAGTTAGAATTTTTATTTAAGATTTGGTGTATTTGCATGGCACAAGTAATTCCTAAACTGTAACAACACTCAATTTTAATTTATAGCAGCATTTTACATAATTGCATTTTTAAAGCAGGTCAGCAATTTGTGCACTAAATAACAAAGTATTTATATTATTACATGTGCTTTCCACTTATTATTTACCATTTAGAATATTTACAAATGTTTAAATGTTACATATAGAAGAATGATTTTTAACCCCACATTTCATCAAAATGCTGAAGGTTTTTATACTTAAACCTCAGTTCTGACCTGATCAGGAGTTCCAGAAAAGATACTTGCATTTTAGATGGGATTCTTGGTTTCAAATGTCTTAAAAGTTTTAAGACTGAAAAGAACTTAAAAACCCCAGTCATCATCTTTTTTTCCAAATGAAGAGGTGCAAAAGGGTCCCACTCCTAAGTTTTCACTGGGAGTGAAACTTGAGAGGGTTGTAGAGCATTTGAAGGGTTCTAAAACAAAGTA